GGCCGATCTCTGCAGAACTTGGCAAGGAGTCTCGGAGAGTCATGAACCAATTAAGCTAATTAATTGTCTCCTGCAAACTCCACTCCCCTTTCGCCCCTCTTTTATTTTTTCTGGGAGGGGCCATTCTTTGGTCTTACTCCCAAGTCGACCCCTGTTCCTTAGCTGTTCCCTTTGTCTGGCAACTCTGAGCATGCGCACACTGGGAACAGGCTCCAGCTGTTCTTCTGCCCCACTGATGTCCGACTCTGAAGGCAGCTGATAACTGGCACATGGCCCTGGCCCCCTCTCTGCCTCCAATGTAGAGCCCTCATCCGAGCCTTCCCCAGACTCCAGGACTGGCCCTTCTTCCTCCCCAACCTCCTCACTGTCTGAATCTGCTGCCAGCTCTGGTGGTTGCTGGTGAGCCATAACATTGTGGATGATGGGAGACGCAAAGCTGAAATGCGCTCAAGACCCAAGTGGGCATGGAGGTGTGTGGAGTTTCCCGGGACAAGGAGGGTAAGAGAGGCTGCCCATCACAGAGAAGAGAGGCAGGAGCCCCTCGGTTTCATTTTTTCAATCCACTGCATCGTTCTGCTGCTGAGAAAATGGCTCTCCCTTAATCTGCTGATTCAAGCTTTCCGCCGGCTGTGTGGAGGAGTGACAGCAAAGGGCACCTTATCTCTCTCCCTCTCCCTGTCTCTCTCACACACACTTCAATTTCCTTGACCAAAAGGCAACCCATGATAATAAAAAACCGGGGAAGATAGGAACAGGGAAAGCAGAGTTGGTGTGCGCTTCGTGGAGTTGCTTTTAAATCCATGCGCTGTTATTGCATTCCCAAAGAATTCTCTGCTTTTTCCAGAAATGTCTTTGTTGCCCCAGTAAATCCTCTGAATGTAGGCCACCGAGTGAGAAAGAGGGGGGGGAAAGAAAGAATTTCGATTAAAAGGTGCTTTGCAGAGACTACTTTGAGTGGCGTGGGAAGGAAACAATCAGAAGAAATAGACTTATTTTTAAGACATGAGAAAAGGGGATTGTTCCAAGATGGCCTAGATTTCCAGCAGTCTGGTGAATGGTAGCACTGAATGTCTTTATTCTCATTCTGGCTGCTCTCTTGCCATCGTCTCCCTTCCTCAAATTAAGGAAAACCCCCGGCCACCAAAATAATTTGCCTACACAAGTTTATCTGTCTTTAGAATGTTTCATAGCATTGAGAAAAAGCTAGGAATTAAACTTAGTGTTCTGACTGAGGCTTCCCCAAAAAGCATGAAGCAGAGTCCTGGTCCCGACAAAACCCCTTTTATTAAACAAATGTAAATTCCTCTTATTCACATTCAGCAAAGGCCTAACAAACAGTCCTTCAAAGGTGAATTTATGACCACAGAGCTTATCTAGCTTGGAAAGCTGCCATGTAAACACTTTCCAAATGAGGGGCTGTGCAAGGAAAGATTTGGCACAGAGTCTCTGGGATTCACGGACAGATCTTCACACTCCTGAAACAAATGAACAAATGAAGCTCTGCTGGCTGGAGAATTCTGGGAGCTGAAGTCCACAAGTCTTAAAGTTGCCAAGTTTGGGAACCACTGCTCTTCCTGATAGTGTGACAGGCCTGCTATTTCGTGCGCTAGTTGTGGCCGCCCAAGAGCAGCGCTTGATCCCGCCGTGCACCACTCCTCAAACCATGGCAGGAGATGCCTTGGAAGGACTCTGCAGCCTGTCTCCTAATCCAAGACAAGATGCTTACATCATTGAGGGTTCCCATCTGCAGCCTCACGGAATTGCACTTCTGCAAGCGAGCTCTCCCAAACACCCTGCGAAATAAAGAATTCCCTTAACTGGATTGTCTCAACGCTGGCAGCCGAAAGCACCTGTCAATTGCAGGAAAACTTTTCCTCCCGAGGATGGAGACTGGAAAGCCTCCGGGGAAGGAGGAGCTGGGTTTTGCTCTAACAGGGCTTGAAATAAATGGGGTCAACCCACCGTTGAAAGAGTGGCAGGGCCAGCTTTTAACATCCGTGTTGGGCTGCTGCTTCTCAAACCTTTGAGAGACCTAAAATGCAGGCGGCCCTCGCCTTACACATTTGGTGACCAAAAAGTTACTATTGGGCTAGAAAAAGAGGCATTACAGACAGACAGTTCTGTCCATGAGAGTGGTTGCTGAAGACCAACATCCAAGAAGAGCGTGCGTTGTATTGCAGATCTGTACATTGGGGAAACAAAACCACCACTTCACAAACGCATGGCACAAGATAGGAGAACAAACCCATCAGGGCAAGATTCAGCAGTCCACCTGCATTTAAAAGACAACGGCTGCTCTTCTGAAGACAGCAAAGTCCACAGAGAGGACCGCTGGTTTGAAAGAGGCGTCAAAGAGGCCATTATGTCAAAATTGAACAGCCCTCGCGATACAATATCATCTATCTCCAGTCTACAACACAGATCCTTTCAGCAGTTCCAAGAAGGCTCTGCACCTATTTGCATCACTCAGGTAACCTTGAGGACACAGATAAACCTCCAAGAGGCCTCAACGGCTCTCTAAAAGGATGCGAATGACCAACTGTTTGCAAGGAATGTAATCCTTCCATTCCCCACCATCCAGCTAGAGCTGAAGAAGCTTCTTGGATGAGAAGCGAAATGTTGTCAAAGAAAAAACCAGAAATCCAGTTTGTTAGGAATCTAGTCTAACGGTTGGGTTGGCAATATATAAATCATATAACAATGTTATACCTGTTTCTTTAAATCATACTGTAAAATGTGATTGGTTGCTGTTTTCCCTGATCTGATCTGAGTGCCTTGAGCTATTGTAAGTTTTGGAACTGCTAGCAAACTTTGAGTTCTGAACTGATTATATGATACTGGACTATGTTATTTGGATTATCCCTTAACTGAAAGACATTGATGACTGACTGTCTTATCCGTGTATGATTTGGACTGTTTGATGGACTCTGATACCTCTTATTTCCACGAAAGTAAAAGCCTACTTAAACTGCAGTGTCTCTGTATGCTGGTTTGTGTGTTCTCCAACACAACTCTAACAACACTTCTCTGAACGTACTTTCTCTCCCAACAGGGCACTTACCTAACACTGTTGCCTCCTGAAATAAAAGTACATTTGAGACAACCACGACCTGAATGGCTGAGAATCTCCATATACAATAATTAAATGCATGAAAAGATGTTTGTTTTTCTTTCTACAAAACAAAAGGATCCCACCTATAGTAGAATCTATTTTTCTCCCATTATAAATCCCTTTGGATCACTCCTAATTTGCCAGTTGCAGTGAAATCTCAGGCTGGCTTGTGAATAATATTATTCCCTACTTCCTGACTAATTTATGACCCATCTGATGAGTTACTCTGTGCATTTCTTTGTCCCGTGGGAAATTCTAAAAAATTGGAGTAGCAGGTGAAAACATGGTGTTTTATTAAAATTCCCTGCTATAAAACATAATTGTTCAAGGTTCTCCCAACGCATTTTGTTTCAATCACAAATAAATTTAATTAGTGGTGTTGGAAGATTGGAAGATGGGCTGTGCTCTGTGCTAAATGGTCTTGCATTTGATTTTTTGTTTTAAGATCTCATTAGGGCATATGGCTGAAGAGAAATAAATTAAGGGTTGAATCCCATGCTGGAAGATTGTTCATGATTTAATGCATCTTATTTCTGTGGGCAGAGATATATGTTATAAATCAGACTGACTATTGCAGTTTTGCTTCGGTGCACCAAATTTTCATGTAGTTTCTGCAACACAAAATCACATTCTTGTACACTTATAGAACAATGCACCACACATTCTGTATTTATTCCTTCGTGTAAGAAATGTCTGGATTTTTTTTTTGTGTCATTGGGCCATCTGAAGATAAAAGTGAATTAGATATCATAAACTTTATATGTTAAGATGAATTAAAATTAAATTACTTAAATGGAGGTTAACAGTAAGTACTTTGTACATATGCAATGATTTTTCTCATTTTCCGTATTTTAAAAAACCCACACCAAGTCGTTTCAAGGACCCAAGACAATGCAAGAGCTTCATAATGTACATTTTATAGGTTATTCATAATCTTTCAAGGAAAATCAGTGCTGGGATTGCGTCCAACTTTGCAATTGACACCTGGGTTTTCCATACATTCATTTTCTCTAAAACAATTACCAGGCTAATTTCTGTTCTCTTTCTCAGCCAGAAATGTTGCCCCTGCGGCTTAAATACCCTCAATGAAAAAGCAGGTGGATGGTGGAAATTAACCCCTCCATAACATGGCTGGGGAATTATGGGAGTTGAAGTCCACACAACCTAAAGTCGCCAAGCTTGGGAAATGCTCCCTTAGATGACACAGTCTTTCAAGAGGCTCCATTGCAAAGCTGGACTTCTTCGCGTGGTTTTAAAGAGGGGATCTGGAGCAATTCCCACCCTGGGAAAATGAGTGAGATGGACCGTGAATAAACCAGCTGTGTGCTAAGCAATGACAACCAGTGCAATGAGTTGCACCCAGAAACCTATCAGCTAGTGCAGTGTTTCTCAACCTTGGAGACTTGAAGTCCTATGGACTTCAACTCCCAGAACTCCCCAGCCAGCATAGCTGGCTGGGGAATTCTGGGAGTTGAAGTCCATAGGACTTCAAGTCTCCAAGGTTGAGAAACACTGAGCTAGTGAATCCCATGACATGGTGGCATTCTATACAGTTATCAAGATATGCCTTTAGCACCCATGTTGCTGCATTCTGGGCCCATTGCAGCTTCCAGCCGGCCTTCAAGGGAAGGACCCAATAGAGGGCATTGCAGGAGTCGAACTAAGGGAGAAGACTAATCCGTGAACGGTCATGAGCCGAGAGCATTGGAGACGCTCTGGCGCTCCGTCTCTATGCCGGAGATATATATCCCTTGAGAGCCTCTCTAGGAATTTCCATGCCGGCGGAGACTCTCCTTTTTTCTCTCTCTCCTTTTTCATGCGGCAACTTCTGGTCACGTAACGAGCGCCGGCAGAGGCGCGGTCAGCTGACCGGAAGGGGCTTCCTTCACGTCCTCCTCGAGGGCTGGGAAAGAAGAAGGAGGAGGAGGTGGAGGCGGCGCCGTTCGGGCATGGAGCGCTACGAGAAGGCGGCGCTCAACGCGCTTTCGCCCCCCGAGGCCCGGTGAGGACGGGGAGCCGCTCTTGGGGCTGGGGGGTTAATTTGAGCCCCTGTTTCAAAATGGAGGGTCCTCCCCCCCCCCCGCATATATTCTTCCTCCTAGGGGGAAAAAGGGGTTAGGTTGCATGGAAGGAAAAGTGGGAAATTAGAAATTAATCCCAAACAGTTTAGGACAATTTAGGTTACGGTATTCTGAATATTTTCTACATCCTTTCTATCATATGGCATTTTCTGGGTATTTTTATATATATTTATGTGATATTATATTATAGAATATTATAGAGTATTATACTATTGAATATTATATATAGAATGTATATAAATATTCTATTATAATATGCATCCACATGTATAGTACACATGCATACATACAAACCGACCAAGGAGAGATTCAACCTAGAAATAAGGAGAAATTTTCTGACCGTGAGATCAATCAACGCATGGAACAGAAGTTGCCTTCGGAAGTTGTGGGAGCTTCACCACTGGAGGCTTTCAAGAAGAGACTGGACTGTCGTCTGTCAGAAATGGTGTAGGGACTCCTGGTTGGGGTGCGTGTGTGTGGACTAGATGACCTGCAAGGTCCCTTCCAACTCTGTTAATCTGTAAAAAAAAAAAATTGTATTGCATATGGTAAAGCAGGGGGTGGAATGGAGCAAGAAATGTCTGTTTTTTTCTTAAAAGAAAAAAGGTGATAAGAGGTATAATACACCATATTAAATGTTAATATTACAGGATATGTTAAGTTTTTAATGACATGCATTTGTAGAAATCAGAACTGGGAGGCAGTATATAAAGTTTGCGTAAAAAGATCTGCAAGTTTTCTAGGTTCAGAAATGATGAGCCAAGGTCAGCTTCTGAGGTTTCTGGATGAATCCGGAGTTTTCCATCCCCAGTCTTATTATTCCGGTATATTTTTCAGATCTAGCACTGGATCTTTCAAGTCATATCAAGATCGTTTCATTTCTAAGCAGCACACAGCGAGTGTGGATCAGTTTTCACTGAGACTGGTTCTTGTAGGTTTTAAAATTCAAGATTGGCTGTGTCAGTTTATTTTGGTATAAATAAAAGGTTTGCCTAACTTAGTGAAGCAAGTATCTTCACTGGTAATAATGCAATTAGATATGTAGAATATCATTCTTTATTGTCCAAGTGTGATCGGACACACCAGGAGTTTGTCTTTGGTGCATATGCTCTCAGTGTACGTAGGAGAATAAAATACATTAATCAAGAATAAAAAGATACAACACTTAGTGATAGTAAAGGTTACTAATAAGCTATCAGATTGTACTCGGAATCAAAAACAATATAAACTGAAAGATACAAGCAACATGGTTATAGTCATAAGTGTGGAGAGATAGATACTAAGACGGAAGAGAAGAATAATAGTAATACAGTCTTAGTAGATAATGTGACAGTGTTGGGGGAATTAGTTATTTAGCAGAATGATGGCATTCGGGGGAAAACTATCCTTGTGTCTAGTTGTTCTGGTGTGTAGTGCCCTATAGTGTTGATCTGAGGGTAGAAAAACATCTCAAAACCCAGCATCAATTCAAATTAATTTATTCTGAAAAAAACAATTGCCTTAAACTTTTTAATCTATGGTGGATGATAACTAGGGCAATGATTGAACCCAATTTCTTGGTAATATTTTACAAAATTCCTCTGCTCTATTTGGTACATAATTATTTTTCTTTGTTGTGACTTTTTTTGTAGAAGTGAAGTTTCATTAGCCTCAACTTTAAGGACAATGCTGTTCTTCACAGCTTTAATGATTATGTTGCCGATTGGATTGTATTTCTCAACAAAGGCGTATATATTTGAAGGTAATTGTCTTTCTTTTAGACTACTTTTTTTTAAAAAAAAACTACGTCTCTCTGGGTCAATATATTCCAGCAGTGTTTGTCAATCTTGGCAACTTGAAGATATGTGGACTTCATGCTGACTGGAGAATTCTGGGAGTTGAAATCCACACATCTTTAAAGTTGCCAAGGCTGAGAAAAAAATTGCATTGCGGTCTCTTATTAAAAGATAAAGAATGTATACCTTATTACATGGTGTCAAGAAGCTGTTCTTTTTATTTTTGAATGATAAAGGTTTGAAATAGTTTTGGGGAACATTAGACGTATTCTACATACGTCACAATCTTCGATTAACAAAACAGAAGAGTGTTCTTAATTAACCTCTTTGTACCCTTTGCTTCATCGTTTTTGTCTTTGTTGTTGTTTTTCCAGGTACCTTTGGAATGTCCAACAGGGACAGCTACTTCTATGCTGCAATTGTTGCTGTGGTTGCTGTCCACGTTGTCCTTGCTCTTTTTGTGTACGTAGCATGGAATGAAGGCTCCCGACAATGGCGGGAGGGTAAGCAGGACTAAGAGAGCTGGATGGCCGCCTGACAGACAAAGGAAGATTTGTAGGTTGTGGTGCCAGCCTCAAAAGACTTTCCAGAAGTCCCTGTTTGAATTGGATGAGATTGGTGGGACGGAAATGTTTTGTTTTGCTTGTATGAATCCGTGATTTCAGGTGTCCCAAAATTTAGCAGAGCTGGGAAAAACCAGCAAGAGGAGCAATTGAGTAAATTTTCTAGACAAAAACATGGAGAGACTGCACCGTAAGTAGATAATAGATAATGCTTTCAGCAGATTTGGTAATATCAAGGTAATCTTTGAGCTTCTAGTATCAGTGAAACGGATTGGATTCGTACGTCCTCAGTTTTCCAATCTGACATTGGAACGGTTGGCCTTAACATCTAAGAAACACAGGTGTTTTGGAACTGGTGTTTATTTTGTTTGATGACAGAACAATGATGCCAAGTTGAACCAGACTACCACTCTACGTGGTAGCTTTTCACGTAAGATTGTTCCCCCCCCAAAAAAAAAAATTAGATAAAGAGTTTTGTCAAATGCCATGATTTTGAATGCAGTTTTTCTGTTATTCACTACCAAGAAGAGAATTCCTTTAAGAAGGAGATTTTCTTGTTTAATGGACCAAGATGTGAATCAATTTATCACTAATTTCAGAGTCTTACCAATGTTATTTGGCCATCCCAAAATGCCTCCCTGTTGAAATTTAAAGTTTGTTTTATCGCCTATTCTTTGGGTTGATCAATTGCTACTTTTAGCCTCTTTCTGTTGGCAGCCGGTTAATTTGCTGCCTTGTCTCTGCAAAGAAAAGATCCCACTGCAGTAACATTCTTCCTCTTCATTTGCTGCTGAAAATCATGGACATCATGTGTTGGAATGACTTTGAAATTGGAATTCGTCCTGAGGGTCCTTGCCAACTTTTGGAGGGAATTCTCTCGTAATATGTTGTACATTATTTGTTGTGCAATAACGAAAATTATCTTCCTTTCCCCTTTTCGTCGGTGGGATGGTTGGATATCCAACCTGGTGCTGCTGCAAAGCTGCCTCTGACATAACTGGAATATTTTTGTACAGGGTTTTCTTCACAAGTAATGTGTGGTTCCCAAATTCCACAAATGTTGATCAGGAGCTATGCTTGCTTCAAAATTGAATTGTTTCCTCTAAATCTTGATTATGTTGGATTTCTAGATTTCCTCCTGTTGTTCTTACCAATGATTTTGGGGAGTCAGAATGGCTCAGTGAGAATTTCCCAGAGAGAGAAAGGGAGGGGGAGAGAGAAAGAAAGAAAGAAAGAAAGAAAGAAAGAAAGAAAGAAAGAAAGAAAGAAAGAAAGAAAGAAAGAAAGAAAGAAAGAAAGAAAGAAAGAAAGAAAGAAAGAAAGAAAGAAAGAAAGAAAGAAAGAAAGAAAAAGACCTCTTTTCAATTCAGATCAAACACTGGAAATATTCCAATTCTGAATGCAGTGATGATTTTCAAGTCAAAAGATTTGCATTTTTGTCAGAGAAAGCTTCCAAGTTCTGTAGCTGGTGCTTATGTTGCTCTATGATGGTCTCAAATTCCATATTTTTCTGCTGACCTTATTTTCTCCTCTCTGACAGATTAAATTTATCTTATGTATTGCAAATGCTGCATTTATAGTCAAAATGCAGTTGTATAGATTCCCCGCTGAGCCCAAAGAATTGAAATGGCTGTGTAGTAAATTTCTGGATGATCCCTTGATGGCCAACGAGTTGTAAATATTGTACCATCAGCATTTCTTCCACATGGATTGCTTCCTTATAAATTGGCTGGTCTGAGTGTATATTATGGGATGTATCTGTGGTATATCTTGCACTGAACTCTTAACCAAGGATATGATTGGGCTTCACACATTGCACTAAGCAATTGGTTTTTCAGCCAGCACATTGTGTGAGACTCACTCATTAAGGTATAGAAACTGTGATTTCTGATTTCAGGTTTTGTGCAAACCCAGTTATTTATATAATAAATTGCATAAATCATGTCTGCATTTTCTTCAGGTGGGAAAATATACAACTGTCTTCAGCCTGTTACCCTCTAGATCAGGTGTCTCCAAAGTCGGCACCTGCAAGACTTATGTAGATTTCATCTTCCGGAATGCCCCAGCTGAGCATGGCTGACTGGGGAATTCTGGGAGTTGTGGTCCAGAAGTCTTAAAGTTACTAGGTTTGGACACCCCAGCTCTAGATGTTAGTATTTGGAACTATGGGTGTGGCAGCTGGGAACAGGAGGGAATTACAGTCCTGACAACATCTGGAATCAATTCTTGAACGATTTCCAGCATAAATGTGCTTTCATTTGGAGGCTTGTTTAGTTCCTGTTTCTTGGTGCTCTCTGAGCTTGTTTCCTTGCAGGCATTTCATGGCCCTAACTAGGCAACATCATCAGTGCTACTAAGGAGTGGCATAAGCAGCACTCCCATGCCAGCACTGATGATGTTAAGCAGTAAGGGCCGTGAAACGTCTGCAAGAAAACACGCGAGCTCAGAGACCACCAAGGACCCCTCGTTTCCACCCTGAGATACCGATATTCTCCTCTGTTGATGGTTCCCTTTTTTTTTAGTGGCCAGTGAGTTACTTCCTGCAGACAAAGGGTGTCTGATTCATAGAATCAGGAAGCTCTCTGAGGTCTTTTGCTTCAACCCTCTGCCCAGCGTACGAATTCTCAAACCACCCCAAAGAACCGATCAACCGTTGATTCAAAGCCTCCGGTGATGAAGCCCACAAAGCTGGTTCTTCAGAAGCCGTCAAGAAGAAATCGACTTTGTCATCCGACCACAATTTAATCGATTATCATCCTTTCTAGCTCTATTAAAGATATTGTGCTGGGAGGACAAAAAGCATTTCTGGTTGGGTTGGAAGGAAAGTAACACTGCCCATTCATTTGCCCCGTGCCCAGTTATGGAGATGGGTGGGCTTGGGTTGATAATAAAACGCTTCCAGTGGGGGAGGATATCTGTAGCTCAGGGTTGAAGTGAGGTGCCCTTGGTGCTCTCTGAGCTCGGTTGCTTTCTTGCAAACGTTTCGTGACCCAACCAGGCAGCATCATCAGTGTTAGGAGAGAGAGGGGTTGAGACTCTCTTTATGTACTAGGCAACATCATCAGTGCTGGAGGGGAGAGGGATGTGCAGAGGAGGAGGAGGAGAACTGGGAGGTCCTTGGTGGTCTCTGAGCTTGGTTGCTTTCTTGCAGGCGTTTCATTACCCAACTAGGTAGTGATGCTGTATCAGTGCTCTAAAGGAGTGGGATTTGTGGAGGAGGAGGAGGAGGAGAAAGGGAGAGGAGGAGGAGGAGGGTGTGTTCCTTGGTGCTCTCTGAGTTCGGTTGTTTTCTTGCAGGCCTTTCGTGACTCCATCTAGGAGTAACTGATGACGTTGCCTGGTTTGACTCATGAAATGTCTGTAAGAAAACAAATTAGGGGTCAGAGAACCTCAAGGACCCCTCAGTAAAAATGCCTCTTCTGACCCCTAGGGGTCACTGCTGAGCTTCGGCACAGTGGGATAGTTCATGTGAATAAAAGTCTTATTTTGCTCAGCTCTTCCTTAAGAACGAGACATCCGGCTTTGCAGTTTAAAAACAAAAAGTCAACACCTTTACCTTGTGGCCATGGGCCTCTGCAGCTTAATTTTTCAGTGTCTCAGTCTCCTTGTCCTTATCTGGGCCTCGAAAGCCAAACAGCGTCTTAGCCACGTTCATTTTAGGAAGGGAAAATGACAGGGAATTTGGGGGCAAGCGTGGTTGCACCCTATTTGCAGTGCCCTACAGTCACGTGACTGATTTATGACCTGTTTTGCCATAAAAACGGGAGACACTTCCAGCAAACACCCCCACCCCACCAATTGGATGCAATGGCTTTGCTGCCTGCCTGCCTGCCCCGTTCATTTAACCACCACCGTAGCCTTCACTTAATGACCGCCTCAAAAGCGTTGGTAACAATGGGTCCTTTGGGGAGCTGCTTAACCAGCACAGCTTAATGACCGAATTCTGGGCTCAGCTACAGTTGTAAATCGTGGATTTTTATATCTCCGTCAGCTGCTTTGAGTTGCCACGTGTGAATAGGCGGCAATATAAAATTTCTAATAAATAATAAGTTCAAAAAAATTGCTCACGTTGTATTCTGAGTCCGTGCCAAAGCCAGCAAACCCCAGCTTTGCCTGGATGTGTCCATAAAGCTTTTTAAGAGTTGAGCTTAATTCAAAGAATGTTTTTATTTTGTTTTAGGATCATAGTCCAATCCTGCCCCTCCCTCCTCCTCATCCCTCCCTCCCTCATCTTAAAATGCTACTTTTCCTTTGCAAAGAAGAGAGAGAGTCTAACATCGCTGCCATGTTTCCCCGAAAATAAGACCAGTTCTTATATTATTTTTTGCTCCAAAAGATGCATTGAGCTTATTTTCTGGTTAGGTCTTAGGGGAAACACGGTACTAATGTGTGTGCTGCAGCTGCCAAAAAAGCCAGCCCAGTTCTAGGCTGCCTCAACAGAGGGACAGAATCATGATCATCTGAAGTGTTAATACCACTTTATCAGGCCTTGGTAAGGCCACACCTGGAATCCTGCATCCAGTTTTGGTTACCATACTATAAAAAAGATGTGGAGACTCTAGAAAGAGTGCAAAGAAGAGCAAGAAAGAGGATTAGGGGACTGGAGGCTAAAACATATGA